GCCATTAGAATAGTGCTGGTAATTCATGATTAAATGTTACTAGTAACTTCTATGGTTATACCTTCATAATGAGCATCAAATGATAATAACCTTTGCAGTCACTGATCATTGAAATTTACGAATGAATGTGTAATGTCACTTTGTAACTGGAGTACTGACAGATGGCGGACACCCAACCACCCAGTTACTTACATGTAATAGATTCTAGAATCTATTTAGATTTCTGTTTTTCTGATTCTATGATAAACTCTAGACAGTGGCCGAGACAAAACATGAGTTTGTGTATGTTACTGTGACAGTGAGTCGATTCACAAAGTTAACAGTAGTTTTTTATTTGATTTATATTATTTGATATTGTGCATGTTTTCTATCAAAACACCTTCTTGTATCAGAATGAATCCTTGTAATAATTGTGTTGTAGACAGTAGGCATACTCACATTAGAGCCAAGACTCAGAGATATAATCTCACCTTCAAAGGCAGAATGGGTATCAATATGAGGAGGAATTCCTGAAATTGAAATAAAAACAGTTGTAAAAATTATTTTCATGATCAAAATGGTGCTACACGACAATAATATGGTATGGTACCTTGTCCTGGTTGGTATTGATTCACTGTTATTTGATTAGGCCCGTGCTGTATATTTTGAGTAGCCATGATGTCATCGATAATCTTCCTCAAGGCTGCAGGTATCCCATCATGCAATGGTTTATCCTTGTCTACATTGTTGTTATCATATCGGAATTCATACCCATAATGCTTCACTTGTCTGTGCTTTAGAGTTTTTGGTGCAACTGGCAAAATAAATGAGATCAAAGAAAGCTTACAAAAAACTACCATGTGCTGAGAGTATTGAATATTAAAAATTAATTCAAGATTTAATATTAGCCTTTCAAACAAGAAGCCTGGCAACTGATATTGGTTTGCTATTTGAGATGTACAACATGAAAACAATGTGATCCAGAGTGGTGAAGTTTATAATACTTGATTGATAAGTTTGATTTCTCAAAGTATTGAAGGCATGACATACAAATGTAGAATACTGTATTTACTAGTTTCATTAAAACCTGATGAGTGATCCTCAAGTTTTCTGTGAAGAACCTGTAAATTAGTTAATTTATGCAAATTAGATGATTAGTAAGCACAAAATTTAACTCTAAACTAAACATGTATATGACTTATCCTTGAGCATATATGTACCAAGCTTCATTGAATTTAATGGGTGGTTGAAATATTGATGGAATAATTAATATGCGAGTAAGGCAATTAATATACATGAATTTTAATCCAAAACTAATTACCATGTTTCATTAAAATCTGTTAAGTGGTACTTGAGAAGCAAGTGAAAATGCTAAAAATTGGCTAATTAATATGCAAATGAGGTAAATAACATGCACAGATTTAAAACAAAAACTAATCAGGTCTGAGCAAATTTTAAATTTCATTAAAGCGGGGGAGTTGTGACCTGTGTATGCGTCAGATGGCCATAGTGTGTCATTGTTTACAAACAAGCGTCCCCCCCCCCTGAGCCTTTGCGTTTTAGTGTGTGTTGTTATCGTCGCTTGTGACTCAATTCCCGCATGTGCAGGTGATGACCCTCCTGCTTTAAAATTGATAATTAGTTCTTGAGTTATAAGTGGAACAGACACACACACAGACACAATAGCCACAAAGACTCTCATTGTGTGCTTCACATACAGGAGTAAAAAATAAAGTATTTAGCAAACTATCATCTTGTCAAAATGGCTTAAATGATTAAAATAAAAATGAGATGAGCTAACCATTTCCTGCTTCACTCAGCATCTCTTCATTCCAATCAATATTTCTCAACAACATGTCTTCCATCTCTGCATCTATAAAGTCTTTAACAAGTACAAGCCCTGGTGGAAGGTTGTCATTACTTTGTAAGTTTTCCTTTGGTACTGAAGTTGAAGAATAACGATATGTGAAAATATTAACAGGTCAAAGGTAAACACATTTTCAAGATTATGATAGTTTGTTTTTCATGAATCTGGAATGTTATAAAAACTACAATCTGGAATTTTCAAGGAGAATGTTCCGCCAAAGCACTCCACTATCACCTTGAAGTATTTCGTTAGGACTATGTGGATGTGACAGTGCCCTCACAGTTTAGAATCAGCTTATCAACAGCCAATCAGATTGCTTCTTTCATCAATGTGCTTGGCCAAGCTTTAAAAAACAAATATGGCTGCACACAGTGGAAGCTGTAATGGCTTGGATGTCGAGGCAATACAGTGAAGATATCAAGACATCACTGATATTTAGTGTGATGTGTTCGTTGTTAGTTGCCTTGCAACCATTGAGTTAGGTAATAGTATTGTCACCACTGTTGAGAATTATGGAGGAGCAGGTGTTATACCTCAAGAGCTCATAATGCAACATATATCGACAGAAATGAAGCTGATGGTGAAGAAATCAGAAATTGAAAAATCCAAGTACATTTTGGCAGTCATTTGTAACAAAGCCTTCTATAAGTTAAGAAAGGAGTTGCCACACAGGGATGGGGAGGGAGGATTGTCCAAACAGAACAACAACATAAAGGACAAATTTATTTCATACACTATCAGTCAAATAGCAAACTTCTTGGCTTCAAAGAAACAAAACGTACCTTCCTTCAGAAATGACAAATACAAAGTGATATTTTCAGTTGACATTTCTGTGGGACGTGTCAACACTGTACCATTGATAAGAGCAATAGCTGTTTCTGCATCTTTAATTTCTTGGAAGCATACAAATGCATATGGCTTTCTTGGAGGCATAGCAATGCTAGTAACCTTCCCGTGGACAAAGAAAAGTTGCTGCAGTTCCTCTCTCTGCACTCCATTTCCTAAGCCTCCATTTGCTACAAGTAGACTCTGCAAAATAAAAATTTATGTGATAATCCATCAGTTCTATTTGCTTTACACTGACATACAATAAGCTGCCAATTTTTAAAAGTACTTTCAAAACAAAATAGACATATCACATAGACGAGATAATCTTACTTGGGGCCAGGGGGGAAAACATTTTTGCCTCTCTCATGGAAAACTGATGTGATTTTACATTTTAATACATGTATTTTTATGATTATTAAATATCTCATCAACATGATCCACGTTCATTGTTCAATATTTATCAAATACATGTTCTGAATACATGCATTAAAAAAGTAACATATCTATTGATTTAGATTGACAAAAGCATTCTTTTGTGTGTATTATACCAAATGGTCTAAGTCATGATTGCCCTGGCAGAAAAGCTTATTATAGCGAGCACAGCTTTGGTTGTTTGCGAGGCAAGCTCTATAGATAACATGTGTATATAGAAAGTATGGAATAAATGTATATACCCTAAGAGTTAGAAAACAGTGCACTTCCCGTCAATGGGCAGCGCCATTTTGTTTGATCACTTATAGTGTTTCGGGTCATTTTTATCAAAGGTGACACAAGAATCATGTGTGGTGCCATCTTGAATCCTGCTGAACTAATGACTCAATTTCTGCAGTTCATGCTTACTCGCCAGGCAATTCCTCAATCTCCATCGCAGAGTTCATGTATCTGCCACTATGCGATCTTATCTCTTTGATTCGTGATTGTGTCTTAGTGGTACTACTTTCAAAGATGCCCATCAAAACCTGCAGGTGTTCGTTTTTTTAACCTGACTAAATGTGTTCACAATGTTTGTAGATTCTGTAGAGCATGGTTTGCCATCAACACCATGAAGTGCTTTCAGTTGTTTATATTTCTTCACCTGGGAATCAGCAGGGTGGTCAGCTTGAAGTACAAAGTAGCACCATAGTAACCGTGTTATTCCGTGGGCAGGACTACTGAAGACGTACCTACACTATATGCAATTTTTTTTAAATTATGCTAATTTATTCAGGACGTAGCAGTTTCTGTGCTCATGAATATTCATTGATTTGTGGGTCAATATATATTATTTTTGGGGGAAGAGTTAGAAAGGGGCATTAGCAATCCTTAGGGGGTCAATACAAAAGAAGGGACCCATTTGGAGAGCAGCATTGATCTTCGTGTCTGTTGTTGCACGTGACCTGCAGCTGTCAACTGTGTTCGTACTTCGACGACTTCAACTGGCTTCCATGTGAGGTAGTATGCTTATGTTTTGTTTTTCTGACTTGAGTTCTTGATATACAGAAGTTGCTGTTTATGTTTTTAACGTCTCTTTCATACCTTGTCTTGTAGAAGTGTCCTGTCCGTGATTTGAACTTGCAATCTTTGAGTTCCCAGCGAACTGTCCACTGTACCACGAATGTCTTCACAAAAGTGATAGCATTCAAAAATCGTGCTAACTGTACTGGATTCAAACCAGCCATCTCTCACATTGCCTACATTGTACATATCCACTGAACCATATGGGTAGTCATGCAAATGAATGATTTGTTTTCAGATTTAGCTTTATTGCAAATTAGTGTTTGCCAGAAAAGACTGGCAGGCATAGGAATTGACCCGTGGACGACTAGACAACCCACAAGACCACAATGGATTGATTAGATGTGTTTGCTTTTGATAAGACTATATAGTATGTATATATATAGAAATACAACATATTTCTATTATTGAGTTACAATTGTCCAAAAAATTGCCAATTTGGTGTTTTTTACTGTGTAAACTATATGCATGCCATAACCCGTTAATGTACATCTTGCCAATTGGGTGTTTGCCATTTGCATTGCCCATACCTGACTCGACCCTAACC